GACTTAGTGCACTGATGAACTACAGTCTCTTGTTTGTATCAGCTGGGCTTATTCTCCAACTGTGACTAACTTACACACGGCTGCTAGAAAGGAAAAGACAGACAGACTCCTAAAGGATAATTTCTTTGTTTCTACCCCAAGTGTGCTAGGCAAATTGCCCGCAAAATGCAGCCTGGCATTCCATGGCAGCCTTCCAGTCCCTGAGTTGATTCAGTGGCTCTGACTCTGGCAGCGTATGCAGATGTGCATCCCACTGTACTTCATGAACCGAGTCCCTCAGGCATCCAACCCTGACCCTACCACAGTCGAACTGCCCTTTCGAGGTATTTCTCTATCAACTGATTATGGAGAGGCAAGTGCTACTGCATTTTATTTCCACAGTGATGAGTTTTTCTTCTCCTAGCCCTTTTTTCTCAGGGCTGAGATGCGTTGTGCATCTGGGCACATAAGCCTGGCAAAGCATCCTTCGTGGAGCTGAACATCAATAGTTTTGGAGAAAAGGAGCCCTACCCCTGCACGGCCCAACAAGCTGCATGCAGGAGAGTACATGCCGGACACGGGAACGGCGACAATGACCAGATCCAAAATTCCAATAATCACAAATTTACACCCACTGCTCTTTCAGGCAGATGTGACACAAAGCCTCAGGAAACGAATCAGGTGCCACTTTTTGAGCGATACCACTGCCCAGGTCTGGCAGGATCCCAGACTCCATACACACTGCTCGCCGTACCACTTTCCGCAAAGGTAGCTCTCACTGTAGCCCCAGCTGTGGGAAGGGACACAGGACACTTCAGCAAAGAAATAATAATCAGGATGAACGCTGCAGCTGTGCTCTGACACAAAACCTCGGATGTTTGCTTGGCAAAGTGCTGTACTCTCATTAAAGTTAGAAAAAAATAGAAGGGATATTTTGATCGTTTTTATAAAAGCTGCATACGTATCATTTATTTCTCATTGTTTCTAATTGCATGCAGCACACTTAATTGTCTCCTAATTCCAAGGGGAAAAGCACAGGTACCCTCTCCGACCCTAACATTTTCTTCTTGCTTCAGTGGGTGTCTGACACGCAAATAATTACAGACAAAATGCAGCAGGATGAAATTCCCAGACAGAAGGCAGAGGAATGCCTTCAATACAGACTCAGAGGAAAATACCATGTATGAATCAAAAGTACATGGTCTCCAAATCTCTTCGCAGAGGGCTCTCAGCAGCACACTCACATAGCTTATTGTATCAATCTTTGAAAGTTAGTGTAAATGCTCTCAACAGATTATGAAACAGTTGTAACAAAAGCTGGATTATCTGAGTATTTCTTAGGAAGATAATTAAATAAGGCATTTCACTGGGAGGAAGAAGAGTAGGCAAAATGAATGAAAGGCAGGCAGAAAGATGCACAGAAAGAAGGCTTAATATGCAATACAAACAAGAATAACTCAGCTGGCATTTAATTTTTAAAATAATAATAAAAAAATATCATGAAATATTTAAAGAGGTTTCCTTCAAATTTATTTTCATTCAAAAAATAGCACAGTCTTTTGACTAGCTATGATCAGCATTAAATTAAGAATCAGTATCTTCCTACAGCTACCACTGAAGATATCTACGAAAAAAATGAAGTGGTGACATTTTAAAGATATCTATTCCACACCTCTGGAAACTGCATTGCTTATTAGATATTCTGTTATATTGCATGAAGTTTTTTTATATCGGATTTTATGACTGAGTTTTTACTAGTTAAATGCCAGTGCCACAGAGAACTTTAGTAGCATAGCTCAACTATGAGAAAGAAAAATATTCTAGAACGAATAAAAATCTTCACTTTTATGTTAATGCCTTGAAAACTCAATCAAATTTCTCTTGAAGCTCAAACAGCACATTTTAAGCTTTTTATTCTCACACATGGAAAAAAAGACTTGCCTAAGAATATGTATTCTCATAGAAGCAGAAAATGAAATAAAACCTACCAGGAAAACATTCTACCCTTCAGAGAATGTGTTAATGACAGGAACCACACACCTATTGTTGCAATTTATTATTATTATTTCATGTTGGGAAATCAAGTTTTTGGTGAAAAGTCAACATCTAAGATGTTTCAGCTAAGAAAAGCAGAAAAGAGAGCTGAAGTTTGAGTGTCTTAAATTAACAGCAGTCTTTAAGTTGAACTTATTTCAGACTCCATTTCTTACAGAGCACCACAATTCCCCTCCTCTGTCTGTGGTACACCACAGCAGTCTCTCAAATACAGTGTATTACGCCTCAGAGAGGAGCAAGAGAGCTTCATGTACCTGCACAGTAATTTCCTGGAGGCAATTCTGTAGAACTACAAAATACAAATATTCTAGGTTTTGGACAAAACATTTGGAATTTTGCCTGAGGAGGGTTTGGGGATTACTTTTAATGTACTACAGTTTAAAAAAAAGAAAAAAAAAAAGGCACTATTTTCTGATAGAAAACATCTGCAGTATGATGTGCACAAACACAATTTTGCCTCAAAAAAAAAAAAAGCCTTGTTAGATTCGTTATTTTTGTATTTCTTCCCAGACCTAGCTTTTACTTACATGTATTTTAATCTAGCACTTCACATACACTTTAAACCAGATTATATTTGGTTTTCCACAGCTGCCTCTCAGGTTAGCCAGGATGACTATGTTTCTGTCAGCAGGTTTCCCCTAGCCCTCCATGACCACTTGGAGCACGCCTTTTGAGCCAGGCTAAGCGCCCCCCCGCAGTACTGAGAATGCTGGTCCGCTGCAGGAATGTCCTGGGGGTGACGGTCTTCGGCCAGGAATATAAGTGAGGTCATGATTTCACAAAAATCAAAGCAGGTTTTTATCCCTTTTCCAAAAAGAGTCCTGTACATGCAGAAAATGGTACAAATAAATTAATAAACCTGGGAAGTAGAGCTTCCATTTACCTGACGTGGCACTCAATTCAGATGAGAACCTGAAGGTTTCAGAGGGTGGAAAGCACCCTCAATGAACAGCGGTTTCTCTGAGCTCTCTGCATAAAGGGTGGCATCAACCAGTACTTCCCACAAGCAAAACCAAAACAGAACAAATCCAATAATGCCATTTAAATTAAATCACTGAAATAATTTTAGTTATGGGTATTAAATACAGTTGGATGTCATCTGTTTAGCCATGTCTGAAGATTAATGCCTGTATCTGCCCAAAGGACTTCCTCAATAAGCTATGAGACACGTTACACATCAAACAAATGCTCTATTTATGGGTGCAGAGGGGCAAAGGAAAAGAAGAAAAGAATTTTGCTGCAAGTGCAGCAATGCTAAAGGTGATAGTGCAGCAACTGGGTACTTTAACATACATCATAGGTAGTCTTACCTGTAAATGACAACTTTTTTGATGGTAACACTATGAGACTATTTTTCTTCTTCCTGGCTACTAATAAAAGCATGCTCAAAAAATCTCACTCTATGGTATCCTAACAGTGTAAACCATCATAGATTGGTGATCTCTAGGTAGCTGTTTCCATATTTTTCCTAACAGATGGTAGAGCAGTGGTGCCATTAAATGTAATTTCTTTTCATACAATTCTCTACCAGTACATTTTCTTCTTGTACATTAATGAAAACTCTGGTGGGGTCTGAGCCTCAGTAGCTCAGATATTCAGTACAGACTTTAATGAATACAGTACATTTGAGGAAAAGAATACTATCATCAGCAGATGTCAATGAACCACATGAGGAACGGGCCAGTGAAATGGGCTTCTATGAGAAAAAGTTTTGACCTCTGTGCAGGACATATCATTAATAATCCAAAGGAATATTTTTAAATTGCTATTCTACCTATCAGCTGCATCACAAAATGCTTTACTGGGTACAATAAGGTAGAGTCACAATAAAGAAAAAAAGAGCAGCAGAGGAGACAAATCTGAAAGTGAAATACAAGATGCAGTGCCTATAATTTGCTGAATTAGAGAAGAGGTAGAGAGGAAGAGTTTGGTAATGATAGTAATGAACTGATTCCGAAGACCTCAGGGGCCTGCTACAGCCAGCTCTCTGCAGGCAGCTTTTCCAGCTTGTTGACAAATGCAGTCATGAAGGGAGATATCCCAGACAGCTCTATACAGGCCAGGTCACCTCTGGCAGGGTTTATTTATGAGCTCACAGGCTCTGCAGAGATGCTTCCACTGCTTCTGGGGGATCAGATTCAGTGTGGGATAGTGGCTGAGCAAACAAAACCTGTCAAATCTGGGCTTGTCAGTGGCTGGCTTTCCCTGTCCTGCTCCTCTCAGCCCTGCCAGCTTTAGCATCCTGGCTCTGGCACAGCCTCGCACAAACATAGCTCGTCCAATGAGGGCTTCATTTGCTTCCATGGGGCTTT